CTCTCTCTCTCTCTCTCTCTCTCTCTCTCTCTCTCTCTCTCTCTCTATCACTCATTTTGGCTATCGTGTTTATTTTCTTTTTCTCCCGTTGTGTGAATAATTTCATCACTCATTCCGGTTTCTCGTCTCAAACGCATTCAAATGCAATCATTTTCGTGCGGCTAAAATAGATGATTTAATAACGAAATTCATGAAGTTCGAAGACACGAAAGAAGATTGTGTCTATGCATTTTGAGTTCAATTTCCTCAGCAAATCTTACATGTATCCCATGGTATTGAAATCATATAAAATCGTTTGCCATAGACCAATCCTCCAATCTTTCACACGCAACTTTCTATATATACAAAAACCGACATTAGTAATTCATTAAATTGTGCCGAACGAATAGAGCGATGAATGTACGTGGGCGCACAAGACTTGTTCTTTAAACCATACAAACACACACACACACACACACCACAAGCACGCACGTGTAATATTTTATTGCGATTTATTTGTGTTGAATGATTGTTGGCGAAGCAACAACAGTATGCTGAATCTATGATTTTTAAGAATTGGATCTAAATTTTTCCACCATTATTGTGCTTCTTTTTTCTTTTCAACAAATGGAAATGTCTTCATCGGTGCGCATCACATTCCAAAAATTTATAGACTCATTAGGTGTTCACCCATTAATGACATTACTCAATGTGCCATACGATATTTTTTTTCATATCACACAATCTATGCTAAAAACAACAACATATTGTGTATATACATCTGGCCCATTCGATATATCTTCACCTTTATTTCATATACAAAAGAACGTGGGGGAAAAGAGCGACAGAATCATAAAAAAAGCACACACACACACACACAGAGAGAGAGAGAGAGAGAGAGAGAGAGAGAGAGAGAACACCATAACCATCCAAATGCATTAATGAATCGAATACGTTGCGTTGAATGGTGTGCTTAAGCACACATGTAATTTGCGTAGGTTATGAGCGTTGAATATAATTGAAAAGTGCTTAATATTGTATTGAGGTAACTCTTTTTGAGTGGGACATAAACACAACTCGATTTAAAGACGATAAAAAAATATATATACACCAAATAACATGAAGAATTAACGGCAGAAAAAAAATCAGATTTTTTCCCTTTTTAATATAAAATCGTCGTTGAGTCGTCTTGTTTTTTTCTTCTGTCATGTTTTTTTCTTGTTCATATATGGAATGGAATCGATTGGGTTGGTCTCAATTGAGAATGAGAGTCAAGAAATAAGCGGTCACAATTACTGATTAAGAAGATTTCCACTTAAAACACGCAGAATTGTGGCAATGATGGGAGTTAGAGAGAGAAGAGCCGTGTCATGCTACGTGTATAAATCACAAAAATCTCCGATGAAGTTATCATATCTATCGTTCATTCTTTCTCGATTCTTTGCTTCTCTTGCCTGCGCGCGAGCGCGCTAGCAAGTCTCTGTGTGTACGGTTTTAAATCAATTTCAAATATGGTTTTATGTATAATAATAATTGGATTGCATGTTTCGTTTTTTTTAGTTTACTGAATGTGCTATGTGTGTTGCTAGTCAGTTGCGGTGCACAGTCGACAAACATAAATGTGCCGTTAAATGATGTCAATAAAATATTGTCGATGCCTCTTAACAGTGTTGCATCACCAAATAACAACGAATCACCGAATCCCATTGTAAATATTGATCAATTTCGATCGCAAAGAAACCAAAGCTTCAATAAAAATGTAATTAATAATAACGATAATGGCGATGATTATGAAACCAATGCATTTCGAGTACAAACGTTAAATCGATCTCATTCGATCGATATGCCATCACCGAAATCAACAGCAACCAAATTAGGCACCATCAACGGTGGCAAAGTGTATAATAAAAATGATATGCGCAAACGAAAAATTAAATCGACGAGCATTGATCCGTATGCTCACTGGAAGTGTCCAAATATCAGCGAAATTAATCGATATGTGGAATGTAGCTGCGATATACCACAAACGCTACGATGCAGCGGCGATATTCATGGATTAACACAAATAGCTGAGGGCTTACGAAGAAGTGAGTATCCTGTATCGTTGTTGGATTGTACATTGAAAAATGTTACGTTTTTGAGCGATGCACGGATATTTGCGGATGTTGCTTTGCACGGTTTGGTTATATCGTCCGGTGAAATTAAAAGGGTACATCGACAAGCATTTGGTGGCATGAAAACACCGTTACAAGAACTTGGACTTCCGAATAATGCATTAACCGCTGTTCCATCACAATCACTATCACCGCTCAATGCATTGCGTCGGCTCGATTTATCAAATAATCGCATTAAATATTTGGACGCATCCGATTTTTTGGTGAGTTTTTCTATTGAATTTGATTTAAATTCACGCATTAAGTTTTTCTTTTTGTTTCTGTTATGAAGATGTTACAAAATCTGGAATATTTGGATTTAAGTGAGAACAATATTTCGGAAATATCAATGCGAGCATTTTTAACAATGAAAAAATTGCAAACACTCAAATTGAGCAGAAATCGTCTGTCACTTGGCGATAGCATACAAGCAATTAGTCAATGTATTAATTTAAAGTAAGTTCAATCAAATTAGGAAGTTATTTATACATCAGGTGCCACGTGAAGAGAATATTCCATCATATAGAGAGTTTTCACAAATTGTCAGTTTTTCATTTCAATCGTACTAATCGTTTTCGTTTCATCTCTCCAGAGAATTAGATTTATCGGCAAATTTACTGCGCGGTTCGTTAGTTCAAGAACATTTGCCGATGCTTAAATCGTTGGAGTCGCTGAATTTGGGCACAAATCTATTTACAAACATTCATACGGGTGCTTTTGAGAATTTCCCATTTTTAACCAGCTTAATATTGCATCACAATCAAATCGATGTACTGCAAGATCATTCATTTTCTGGTTTAAATTCGTTGGAAGTGCTCGATTTGAGCTACAATGGCATTGTGGCTATATCCGGTGCATCGCTGAAGCATTTGTCTCGATTGCTTGTTCTAAATTTGACGCATAATTTCTTAAGGTATAGTTCGCCATTCATTATCCATCTTTTTTACTTTTGTTAATTTTGAAAATCAATTTAATTTATATACTTGAAATGACCGTAGGGCATTAACGTCAGATCTCATTGCACCATTGCCGTCGTTGAAAGAATTGCATATCGATGGCAATGAGATATCATTGGTTGCCAAAAATGCATTCATCGCCGCAAATGATTTGGAAGTATTATCACTGCAGAATAATCCATTGTCGTGTGACTGTTCGTTGAAACCATTTGCCGAATGGTTGTCTACATCCAGCATTTCAAAACAGGTGAACACAAAATATTGAGCTTTTTTATCAATCATCATCATAACTGCGTGGTTACATGACTCGATAATTTTATATAACATTCGCTATCTTTTATATAGTATCAAATGAGCGCTGTTTGTGCCACTCCTCCGCATCTTGAGAACGCAAGATTACAAGAAATTCAATTGGATTCACTTAACTGTGATGGCAATGTCAATCGGAACAACACCGCAAATGTACTTCAACAACTTGAAATACGATCAAAAGAAACCAATTTGACATTTGTCAAGCAATTCAGCGATGGCGTAAGTATTTTAATTCGAAATTTTGGACCTTCGATTTTTAAGTTTTGAGAAATACAAAAAATGTAATTGATTTTTCTGGGAAATAGGAGCCAATGTTTTTTAATATAAATACACATGTACAACAAATACCATCAGAATGATATAATACCTACTTTTTCTTAATATTTCAGATTATTTTGAAGAAAATTCATTTATCAATGGATTACGGTCTTATTTTAACTTGGAGCATTATGCTAAACGAATGGAATTTTTCGTGTGATTCAATTTTTGTCTATAAAGAAACCAAATTCAACGAACATCTTCTCAAAAATCAACCGGTATGACTTTTTATATTTGGACAGAGATTTTCGAAAATTCGAAATTTTCATTAGAAATGGATCTTTTTGATAAAGTTTCTCAAGGTGTCGTCGCAAAGGTGTTATTGGCACCGCAGAAGTATGTCTCTTAAAATAATAATCAAATAAATGTTCTTTTCTGTTAATTGAGAGAACAGTCACTTACTAGTATTCCATATCATTTTTCAAGTACCGCACGTGAATACAAGAAAAAAACAGCACTTACAACAAAAGTGTCCATATCTCCTCAGTACCCATAACCGATCTGTTAATTCGAGTTTATTTTTTACTCTTTTTCTTCGCAAATACAAAATTATTGAAAATTCGATAAAAAAAAGTTGTTTATAGAAAATATTCTACGAATGGATTTAAGTAAAAATGTAGAAATCCTTAAAAAGTGACAATCGAGTAAAAGTATTTTTGTTTTGTTCATTTTCAGGTGCATTGTGAAAGTAATAAAATGGAAAACGAGGATATAGTCAGCGTGATACTGTACGATCAATTCCCGATTGGTGACAAGTATCGCTTTTGTTTGGTGCTTGTGCAAATGAAAGACGATCAACGCGATTTAATTGTTGGATGTTCGAACATAACGAAATTAAAGCAAATTGAAAATGTTTTGGTAACCGATCGAAATAGTGAAAATTCCATATCGCTCACAACGTCAGTGACAACGACGGAAGAAACGACGCCACGTGTGCCATTCAATCGTGATGATGACGACGACGATGATGAAGAGGATGAAGTGATATCAGATATATCATCTTTTGATAAAATAAGCGATTCCATGCAAAATGAGCCACGGCCACATTACGACGATCATGATCCAGAGTATACGACTGTTTATCGAACGGATCAACCGCCAACAACGATTTCAACGACACCAGCATACGCATCAAAATTAATGCATCATTTCAACGATGGTCTAATGCCATCACTAAGTATTGCCATACTGATTACAAGTGTCTTTGCATTTATTTGGGCCGCCACCAAAATTACACACCATCGACGGACAATTCCTGCAACAGTTTGCTATGCTGCCTCCGATCAACACTCGCTCGATATTGAAAATAGCAATCGCTATCTAAAACTACAGGCCACAACGACACTGTAAAGAGCCAATCGGCGTCGAATGGTCGTCGCTTACAAATTTCGATTCGAGTTGCCATGAGAGTTTACCGAAAATGTGATACAAATATTATGTAATTTTGTTGAAATATTCAATTAAAAATTAAGCTCGCAAATCCATATAATTATTTATGCAATGTTAAATTTATTCTTCTTTTTGTAAAAAAAAAACTATTCAATTGAGAAAACACACAAAGAGTCAGTTAAATAAATAAATATGAAACTAACTTAACGAATTATTAAGAAATTATGTACCGCTCGTTGTAAACACATTTATTTTTTATTCGTCCGGTTAAGAATTTGTTTTAATTTGGAAATATAAATACTATTTTGCTCATGAATAAAATGATGAAAATTGATTATGTGTTAAATAGTTTTTATAATAGTTTATATTAACCAATGAAGGGAACGACGATAATATGACATTTGAAATGGTGATCAAATAAAAACCCGTCAAATGTTGTCGATTGCGAAAAAGCTCTATAATAAAACTGGATTGAAAGTGCTTACTAATGTTCGTTTGAAAAGAACATGGCTTTGTATAGCTTTTCATTGTTTTGATTGCGACTTTAATGATATGTGACAAAAAAACTTTATTTATGGATTTTCCACTTTGATGTAATTCTCTATCGATAGAAGTGATTTTCTACCTATACTTTCACTTTTTTATATATTAGAAAGAGAATTGTATTCCACTCTAATAGAAAATCATTGTCATCAAAATACTGCATTCGGTTAGTTTTTTAATTATTATGTTGGCCTTTATTTTTGGACTTTTTTATGTTTTAATTTCAATATGAGATGATTTAAGAAAGCAAAAAAGCAAATGTATTTATTTAAAATTTTATGTTTTCATACATAAGAGGTTGTCTTGTATGGTCAACGGCCGCCAACAGCTTTATGTGTTTATCCGTTACCGTAACCCGTTTGCAATGCCGGCAAATTACGTATGCATCTTCAAGCACTGAAACCATAAACATTTCGGTACTTTCCCGCAATGCTTCCAATGTAGTTGATTGAAGACGAATTTCTCGATTTATCTCGTGCATGATCTCTCGAACCAATCGTTGAAAGGGCAAACGAGGAATCAACAAGTTATGGCCTCGTTGTAATCTTATAATATTCTTCAAAAATGGCTTATAATTGCGTCGGATTGGATACTTTGGTAGTGGTGGTCCTTGAGGTCGTTTTGGTCTTGATGGTCTCTCCTACAAAGTACACAAAAAAAGAAACAGAAAATATTCCATTTTAACAATTAATCAAATTCATTTTTTTGGGCTAATATTCGTTGATAATTGAAATAAATTCGTAATATATTTACAACTGTTACAGTTCCTTGATTGCCTCGATTCGACTGGTCTGAAAATGATTCAGATGGTTCACGCGACGGTCGTCGGCCAAGAAAGTCAGTTTCAGTATCTTCAGATGATTCGTTAGATTCACTTGGTTCACGCGACG